CACTACGTGCGAGTACTACGCAGTTTCCGCCTGTTTTTCTCAGACTTTCCGATAAATCTATTTAATCTATTTATAAACAGTAATTGGAAAACACATTGGGCTAATTAATGTGTTTTCTAATTTCTAGCTTTCCAAATAGAAATATAAATAAAAAAGCAACAACAACAACAACAAGATAACAAGATGCGATGCGAAAAGCTCATTAAACAACAAATTCGAATTCATTCGCAGTGAATAAAGTGCATACAAAATTCGTTGTGGGTAGACAGACATACACATATGCACATATACATATCTATATATACACACACACACACACATTCACATACATATATTTCGCTCTTCAAAACTCTGGGCGTGGCATGAAAAAATAATAGTAGGAGTTAACGGAGGGCGGAGAGGCTGCATTGATGCGCTGCTTTGTGGCTAAGCGGGCGCAATGAATGAAAAGGGCCTCTCTCAACTCGCCCATCTCTCTCTCTCTCTCTCTCTCTCTCACTCACTCACTCTCGCTCTCCCACACTTTGCGTGCGTGCGTGTGTGTGTGTGTCTGAAAGAGAGTAACTGTGTGATGCCACCGGCCGGCAACACGGCCACGTTTAGTTAGGGCTTCGTCTCTGCCAGGCTTCGGCGAATTTTGAACCTGTCCGACTGTCTCTGTGTGTGTGTGTGTATGTGTGTTTGGTTCGCTTAGTTAGCCCGATAGGGGCGCTTTGTGCCTCCAACCCCCTGTCGCTTGTTCGGCAATCGCTGCGCACTCTCATCCTTTAGTTGATTATTAAAGGTTCATTAACAAATGTGCCGCATGCTGCATGCTGCATGCTGGATGCGACACGTAATGCAGCAAAAACGGACAGCGAGTCAGTTCCAGCTCCAGCGCCAGTTCCGGTTCCAGTTGTAATTTCAGTTGCCAGGCATTTCAGTTCATTTTTGTGTTACAGCTGAAGTGCAAACAAAATACAGACAAACACACACACATACATACAGCCAGACATATATGTGCATACACACACACGCACACACACATGAGCTTAGCTTGGCAAATGTTGAAGTAGTAGAAGTAGAACGTTATTAATACCAAAGTCGTTTACTTAGCTGCACTCACAGCATCACACAAACACAAACACACACACACATGCACACCTAACGCCTTTTGTTGTTATTGTTGTTTTATACATCACACACAGACACACGTGTTTGCTCTCTGTGTGCGCAGGCCAATGTCCCGTGCTGAACCATTTTTTGAAAGTTCATGAGGAACTCAGCATTAAGTGGAGGCTCATGAAACTGAAATTGAAACTGAAATGGGAACCGGAACTGGAACTAGTGCCAATGTTGTCGCCCAAACAGTTGAAGGCGTGGCAGACAATATACATTATATGCGTATACATACATACATATGTATGTACATGTATACCTGATAAGGAGAATGAGCCAAGTAGACTTTGCTATGGCTGTCCATTCGTCCTGCCGTGTGACTGCAGCGTTGCCTTGAGCTCGTCAATGATTGACGTGGTCAACATTGGTGGAGGATGGCAGATTGATTGACGCATTGATCACTTAGTTGATGAAATGATTAGCTAATTTAAAACTTTAAAGTCATTGATTCACACGACGTTTAACTAGTGTAGATTAACTAATAACTGACTAATTGTCTGATTGATCTGCTGACTCAATGATCAACTGTATGATTGACGAAGGCTTGCTGTATGAACAGATTGACCAATCAAATTGATTTACTCATTTCATAAAAATTGATTGCTGTTAGCTCTCTCTCTCTCTCTCTCTCTCTCTCTCTCTCTGTCTCTCTCTCTCTCTCTCTGCTATAGCTATCTAAATGATCGACCAAGCAATTACTTTGTCAATCAGTTCTTCAATCACTCAATCAGTAAGTCAAGTTCATTAAATTGGTTACTTAAATAAGACCCCAATTCATTAGCAAATCCATCAATGCAAATTTATTGGCCCAGATTCCAGATGAATTCATTTACTCTCATACAACACATGTTTGTATGTTTATCTTATTCGATTTGATTTTATCTAACACTAATACATGTATGTAGGCTTGCACTTTCAATGTGCCCATATTTGTTTTCACTTGATTGTCCCTCGATGCGCATTCCTGACATATGTTAAAAGGTTAATCAGTCGTAATCTGCTTGATTGATAAGGATACTGTTGCTGATTGATATGTGTGTAACGCTTGAAGGGGGTGGGCGAGGTTTTAAAAAGGCAGCCATAAACTGAATACCCACACTTACACACACACGCACACACATATACACATGTAAATATAGTCACAACCTCTATCAAATCTGAGCTCAGAGACAATTGCAATTCGAACACAGATGCAAAATAGACGCGCGCGTGTGTGTGTGTGTATCTATAGATGTAAACACATTTATGACTGCCTCTAAGGGATGTAGCTATAAAGCACACACACACACACACATGCGCCACGCATACACCGACACTCGTTTTGGCTGAGCTAAACGAAATGTCGCCGCTGCTTCCATGTAATTCGCCTTAGTTCGTTTCTTTTCCAGCCGAGTTTTGTTCTTGTTGCTGTTGTTGCTGTTTTCGTGTAAATAAAATAGATGAAAATCAATTTGACGTGTCTTGAATTCTGTTTAAGGTTTAAAGAACTCGTTTCACACAAAAAGATAAAAACGAGCAAGCGACAGGCGACAAGGGACAGGCAAAGCGACGGGGCGAGGGACGACTGGCGACGGGGGCAACAGGGCGCAATGAGAGCGAACGAATGCGTTTGTGCGTATGAGGGGGAGAGAGAGAGAGAGAGAGAGAGAGAGCGAGAGCGGCAACAGAATGGAAATAAACTCAAAACTCGAACTCGAACTCGATTTGTGTGCAAGTGAGTGAGTGCGGAGCTGGAGTTGGGGAGAGCGAGAAAGGGAGAGGGAGAGCTGGCAGGCCGAAGCAGCGGCGAGGAGTAGGGCGAAAAAAAAAACATAACATCACATCACACACACACACRCACGCACAGGCATAAGCGTATGTAATGTTTCCGTTGGGTCGCGGCGAGGCTTTTTATTTATTTATTTTTTTTTTTGTATTTTATTTTGATGTATTTTAAATAAAAAATATATGGGATTTACCTAGCATGAAGGGCGGCTCATAATTGCATCAATCTTTTTGCCATTTACAAGCATATTTCAGAGTCATGTATGTATGTTTGTAAGTGTGGGAAATGAAGAAGTTGTAAACAAAAAAAAAAACAAAAAACAAAAAACGAAGAAGTCCTTGTTCGATTTGTGACATAATTTAAGATTGGTTTTCCTTTTGATGATAACACAGCTGCCAACAAATAATAGAGTTTATGCGAGAGAAAAAGGGAGCGAGAGAGTGAG